CATCGGTACGGTGGTAGCAGCAAGTGCCCCGGATCTTTAACCTGGGATGCACTGCGCATGCCATCTGCCTTATGCTGCACGACATCAGCCACCTCCCTTCTGAGTATATCCCCTTTTTGCACCTGTACCCCTGGAACTTGCCACAAGAGATATCAGTTCCGACCTAGGACTCCACCCCCACTTTTGCTAAAATCCTTGGCACACCCCTTTTTCGCACTTCCGGGCCCCCATCCCACTCCGATCAGGAAGTCGCGCTGGGCGTGAGGTTAGGGCGTCACAACACAACTACTATTCCAATATCCAACAACAGTAAGGTTTGAGCAGCAGGGCATCTAACACGACCCCCTACAGCTAGTTACTATTACGAAGAGTGCAGCCAAGGTTTGAGTTTCAGCCTCCCATCCGAGGACAGGGATACCAAGCCGCCTTCTCTCGCCTAGGACCTGGCAAACCAAGGCTTGCCTGACCCCCTCTACAGGTGGAACGTTTCCAATCAACTTTGATCATCATTCTCACCAATGAGAGGATCTGGGCCAGTTGCGGAAAGATTGAAACCTTCTCGTTCTTGAAGACAACTCTATTCCTTGCTCTCCAAATTTCCTGCATTATAACCCCCCTGCAGACAAATGCCACGTATCCCCAACCCTCAGAGTAGATAAATCCTGGGGCTGGAAAAGCGCCAAACAAAACCTAATCGTCTGTCCATGCAAAGGAAGCAGTATTATGTTGCCATAGGTCTGCTCACCAGAGCCAGACTTCATCCGCCAATGGACAGTGAACCCAAAGATGTGCGTTGGATTCCCAGCCCCATTCGCACCTGGCGCATGTATCTGATAGCTCCAAGCCTCTGGAGTTCGACCACATGGTAGTGGGAATCACTTGTAAGCTTTCAAGCCATAGTAAGCTGGCATTACATTGTGATGGCATTTTTTTCAGGGCCAACCATAACGCCGCCCGGTTGGGGGGCTGAACAGACGACCCCTTCATCATTTGGAATCTCCGCATGGCCATGTCTCCTGGAGTGTTGATAATTCTAGATCTCAGAGTCCTCATGCCCACCTTGGGAGCATACCGACACAACGGAGTGACTGCCTCTCTGCCCTGAGCACCATGCCTCCACCCCAAAAGGAGTGGTTCCACTCAAAAACAAACCGCTTGCCCCAACATAATTGTCTGTTTTTGTGCCGACCACACCCTGACTTCCCCCAAACCCAGGGTGGAATTAACCACCTTCTCTTGCACAAATACTAGTGGCGTGCCTTTAGCAGAGTTGGGGCCCATTCTCCACTCTTCAACCGTCCAACCTACTGGCAGATCTGGTCCTATCACCTTCCACACCAACGCAGTCCCATCAACTGCTCTAACCCAAGTACCACATTCATTCTCGGTTGTAGATTTCAGAACTGAAGACCATTGTTGAGGGCAGACGTTGATCAGCTTGGACCTGTTGGCAACATTTCCTCGCAGGCGAGGAAGTTTTAACTTTAGTTCTTCTGAGATCCATTCGTCCCTGGCTCCGTGACAGAGGTGCTTGATAAGGACGACCCCTTTCTGTACCCAGGCTTTGCCAAATTACCCCACTCCATCACATGCTTGGAACATAGGACCCTTAGGCTGACAGATCAGGGGGTTTTCAAAACTGCACTGGTTCAGAACCTCAACTTTCGAGGTTGGACGGTGGATGACCTGTGGAAATAAATTCTTCCAAGCCAGCAGAATGCCTCGCCAAACTCTTGATTTCTTAAGCCTGTTGAGGTATGACGGTAACAAAAAGCAGTGCCAAGTATCCTCGGGCTTGGACAAGGACAATTTATTCCCCAGGATGTACTCATACCCTTACTTTGGAAGGGTTTTCAAAGAACACCTTGAACACCCATTTAGCCAACAAGGCCATGTTCTGTGCCTGCGCGTCCAGGACGCCCAACCCCGCTTGGGCCCGAGGAAGACAAATAGCATCCCAGGCCACCTTGGTGATGAACGCCTGATCTCCCTCCGCAGTCGGCTTCCAAATATATCTGGCTGCCACTTTCTTTGTCGTAGTGCAGGCCTCCTTGCCTAATAAACAGATGGACAGGGGGAACCACAAAATGGAGAAGGTCGCGGATGAAAGGACCAGCGCTCTGCCAAAGATAGAAAGACGGTAGTTCTTGACCCACTCGTGGATTCTGGCTGCGACTCTATCACTCAAGAGTTGGTCTTGCGCTCTGGAGCAGTCCAAAAGTGAGACTTGGACCCCCAAAAAACTTTCAGAGTTTTCAGTAGGGATGATCTGCAACCCCCCATCAACTTTGAGCGAGAACTGAGGATGGAGGAAGTAGACTATTCCAGTTGATTGATGCCTCAGATAGATGACAGTACTCATCTATCGCAGGTCTTAGTTCTTAAAGAGAGGAGGTGGAGTTTTTGCAGGCGACCGTTAGATCGTTTGCTAAATCTCCCCCCTTCCAGTGTAGAGTAGGGCTAAGTTGAAATCCTCTGATATTATTATTTCCTCTAATGTTATCCATCAAGACTTTGAGTTGTAGTACACAGAGCAAGGGCGCCAAAGGGCACCCTTGTCTCAAGGAGCGGGTCAAGGGAAATTTATCAGACTGGTGGCCGTTGACCATGACCCTAGATGTAGAATTAGCATACATAGCATGAACCAGCTTCAGGAAGCCGGGGCCAAAGCCCATATGGACGAGTGTGGTGGACACAAAGGCCCACCCCACTTTGTCATAAGCTTTTTCCATGTCTCGCAGTAAAACTGCTACTTCCCGTTTTTTGAGCTTATGATTTCCAACGCCTGAACTGTAGACATTATGTTTTCAAATATCGAGTGCCCCCTCACAAAGGCCCCTTGCTCCCAGCCTACCAGAGAGGGTAACTCAAAGGCTCATCTAATAGCTAGTGTTTTAGCTAGTATCTTGTAAGTCACATTTAAAACAGAAATAGGACGGTAATTTCAGACTTCCCTTCTGTCCCCTTTTTTGTAGAGAAGGGATATCACCCCTTTGACCAAATTAGGAGGAAGGGTACCTGTGTCCAGGGCCTTGTTGTAAATCTGACATAAAAAAGGGCCGAACCCGGACCAGCAAGCTAGAAACAACTCTACCGGCATACCATCGACAGCCGGGCACCTCCCTAGGGCCATTTACTTGACAGCTTTGTGCAACTCTAGGACTGTGAAGGGAGCATCTAGGTATGTGCTAGTGTTAGCAGATATGCTCACCTTAGTTTTGTCCCAAAAGCAGGAGCCTTCCACCAAGTTAGAGTGGAAGTGGTCAAAGGGCCTCCTTGTGGAAACGATGTCCCAGAAGTACGCAAGAGCGTAGGCACACATGTCTGTTGTCTCCGAGGCTATCGTTGCCTGGACATCAAAGGGATGGATCAGTTCTCTAACTAAGGGCTTTGTTTGTTTTAAGATTAAGGATTGAAAAGTAAGCTTAGTCATTCTATCATACCCCACTATGCCCCTCAGGGAAAGCCACTCCAACCATTCAGCCTGTTTCAGGACGTCTAGGGATTCAAGTTGATAGAGAGTTTTTTCCCCCTTTTCAGCCCGACAATAGTCTGCAAAGGGGTCTTGGCCCATCTGCGACTCAACCATCTATACTAATTTATGGAGTTGTCGCTCCTTCCATTGCCTCTTTGCTGCCTTCATACGAGAGAAGACAATTAAAACTTCGCGAATGATACCCAGACCGACTTCAGCCCAGTGGTCGTCAAAGTGGAAGAGGAACTTGGCTTCTTCTCACTAGACATTTGTGAATTGACCCAAGCCACTATGCCTTTATCCTTGAAGTTGGCAGTATTCAAGCGGAAGGGAGGGCGGGCATTTTGTATCAAATCTTTAGCCATTATATCAACCACTACTAGGTAATGGTCTGATATGGAGGAACTAGTATAATCTGCAAATACACAGCGATCCCGAAGATCGCCCCTCAAGGCTATGAAGTCTAGCCTTCGTCGTGGTTGAGGCGATGTATCGGAAGGTCTTGGACCATACCAAGTATAGCCATGATCCTCTGGATGCATCACCCTGTAAGCGTCAAATAGAGATTGAGAGTCCAACAGGGAAAGAAGCAATGTGCTGTCGTATCTCAAGGGAGTGGGGGATGGCGAGTCCAACCCTGGATTCAGAGTGGTGTTCCAACCTCTGGTAAACACGCAGACCGGTTGGCTAAAAATTTAGTTCTCTCAGAGTATATGGCCGGGGCATAGACCGTCATCACAGCCCATTCCTCTGAACCAATTAACAATTTGACCCAGGCCTAGCGCCCGCCTGGGTCTGTATATTGATCTAAGATTTCACATTCAAGGTCTTTGTGGATTAAGGGTGCAACTCCCCCTTTGGACCCATCGGCGGGCACCAGATTTGTGGCCCAGGCCACCAACCTTGAATCTCTTGGATTTTACCAGAGTCCAACTTCGATGGGTCGCCAGATTTGTGGCCCAGGCCACCAACCTTGAATCTCTTGGATTTTACCAGAGTCCAACTTGGTTTCCTGAAGGCCAATGATCTGAATATTCATCGAGTGGAACCAGGATAAAAGCCTCAGAAGTTTATTTCTATCGTTCGTATCCCCTAGCCCTTTGACATTCCAAGTTAGGAGTCTTATCTTATTGGGCAGGACCATTAGATTGGTCCACACCCCCGAGATTTTGGATCCGGGACACGTTGAATGGGATGCAGCCTCTGTCTTCAGTGCTCAGCTCATTGCCAGGTTGTCCCAGGGGAAGACACCCCTGCGAAACTTTACCATAAAAACCCTCCGAAGACAACGGTGATGAAGCCTTGATTCTCGCAATCTAGTAAGCAATCTCAATGGCAGAGAGATCATCGTGAAGTCGGATTGAGGATAGCGATTCGCTTCTGCATTGCACTAAGTCATGTAGAGGTATCCGGTATACTTGTGTTGAACACCAATTTTTGAATGAGGCTGATATCTCCTGAATAGTCAAAAAGGATATGTGCAACAGTGCCTTCCTTTCGTCCAGCAGGGTTTCCACGTGTCTGCCCATTTTGGGTTCAGACAGAACCGCACACGAACCCAAGTAATGAAGCACCTGTTCATTAACTAATTTAACCACAAAGTCGTCTGATGGTGGCCCTACAACTTCTATCAAAGGGAGGGCCAAGGAATCATCAGTCGCTTGTTTGGTTAGGAGCATCGTCCCCTGGGTAGAGTTGTAACAGATTAATGGAATAAAAAATTCTTGTATTTTCCCTTTCAATCTGTCCGTTTTACTCAGTGTTGCCATCGGACCTGCCAACGCCAAAGATTTTTTGGTTGATCTCGCTTTGTGACCTTGCTTCTTCGAGGAGGGGTTATCGGCCAACACTGAGCCTGATGGTTCCCCGAGGTATTGTTCCTGTACCGTCGGGAGAGGGACATTATCGTTAGTACGAGAATGTTTACTTGGGGTACGCATCACGAGGGCCTCAAAGGCCTTTAGGGGGTCAAAGTGGATATCCCCCTCATCAAATAAACCTGCCACTGCGAAATCGAGAGTCTCGACAAAGGGGTTTGAATGTGTCCCGACCTCTCCTTGTTCGTCTTCGAGGTACCTCGTGTGGTCCCCCCCCCCCCAGCTTCAGAACCCTATCCCTGCATTTATCCTCTGAGTCCGAGGAGTCATAGGCGGTGCAGTGCTCTAGGTCTGTGTTTTTCTCCTCATTTGGGGGAAGGTTTGCTTTGAAGGCTTTTGAGTCTGGGTTCGCTTTGTTGTGCTCCACTTGTTTCTTCCTCGTTCTTCTCCCCACAAACACATAGTGAGAGGAGGGGGAAGTCGATGGCAGACCCAGCTGGAGCTTGTCCTTTGTGTTTAGACCATCCCCATCATGAGATGGAAGGCGGGGGGAGGAGGGGGTGGGAGAAGGAGGGGGGGAAGGAGGAGGAAGGGGGGTTGAAGGAATCTTTTCTCTCGTTACCTTGCTACTTATCGCCCCTTCCCCTTTACCACCACCTGTCTTTCCGCTTACCACCAACTCTTCGTCTCCTTTTTCGTCACTTACCTCCTTGCTCTTCCATTTCCCTTTTCCCTTGCATTTCCCTCTCCCGTTCTCTCCCCTTCTTTCCCTTTCCTTCCTTATGCCACCTTGATTTCCAGAATCTTTTCTTGGCACACCTTCCTGCCGTACCCTCGCACCCTTCTCTTTCCCCTTCTCTTTCCCTTTCCGCTTATCTCCATCCACCTCCTTTTCTGCTTGCTTCTCTCCTCCTTGTGTTTCTTCTCCCTTGTCACCAACCTTGTCCCCATTCCCTTCCTTATCCTCATTGTCTCTCTCCCCGTTCCCCTCATTGCCCTTTTCTTCCTCCTGCCCCTTCTTAATATTATCACGTTTTTTTGGGCAGGAGTCATCTAAAGACTTGTGGAAGTATCGGCAACAGTCAGAAGTCGTCCTCCGGAGGGACATCACATCACCTGGGTTGCCCCGGAATCCCCGATCCGGATTCTGGGGGTTAAGATGACTGCGCTAGGCCAATTCCCGGAGAATAACAAATGGTTATCAGCCCCTTCGACAACCAAACTCTCTCAATGGAATCACCAGCATACATCTCTGTTCGGACGAGCTCTGGTGATCAACAATGTGGTCTTAGCCACCCTCTGGTACAAGTCGATATTTTGGCCATTAAGCCCGGGAGCCCCGAGGATCTTGAAAAGGAAGGTAGCGACGTACCTGTGGAGAGGGGATAGCGACAACCCCCATGTTATCAGTCGGGTGGCTTGGGAAGCAGTTATCCAACCCCAGGCAAAAGGAGGTCTGGGTATTCTAGCCCCCTTCACTCAAGCTCAAGCCCTCAACCTACAATGGGTGGTGCGATTGATTTTCGAAACCCCGCTAGTATGGAAGACGCTGGCAGAGGCACAAATCGCCAGTCTGGCCCCCGCAGCACCTCAATGCATCGACCCCCTACGATGGTAGAAGATCGCTATTGGAGAGTACCACGACGACCCCGGTGAGGGGAGGGAAGGAGAGATGATTTCTAGCCCCGCCTATTAAAAATCTGGAGGAAGCTCCTCCCCCTGAATCGCCCACCCCCAGACGGGTGGGAGGAGGTGGCAAGACAAACCGTTGGATCACTAACAAACGAGGCCAGATCTTCCGCAGTTCCGATGCCCCATGGAAAGGTTGGGCAAAGAATGGGGTGATTCGTGTAGGTGACCTATGGGATAGGGAGAGGAAAGACTGGAAAAGCCCGAAGAAGTTGAGGGGAGAATTGAGGTACTGCCATAATATTGAGTCAGCTTTGGAAGAAATAACAAAGGCCCTCCATGTAGGGTGGTGGCTCATCCTCCGCAGAGGGCCGGTGCTGCAGGAAGGAGATTGGTATCCTTAAAGGGGAGGATGAACAAGGTAGGGCTGGTTCATCTGGTGCGGTCGGATGAGGTGTTGATTGAATGGTACAACATAAAAAGGGATGGAGGGCTGGTAGGGCGCCGAGACCCCTTCCAATGGACTTCGAAAGAGGTACTACACAGAACCAGGGTTTTTGGGGAAGGAGATAGCCGGTGGACCTTTCTCCCCGAATAGCCATAGAAGAACTCCCATTTGATCCATTGGAATGGGTTTGGAACTCCAACTCACGGCAAAACCCGCAACAATCCAAACCTCGGACATTGTTGGGACTCTTGGTGAAAGCGTCGTATAGGATGCTCAGAGCCAAGTGATGCTTAAGGGACACGGTGATCGATAGATGGCAGAAGCACCTCAATGTTGGAAGGCACCTCCTCACACCGATACGATGGTTCCGAGACACCAAGAGCAAACCTGCAAAAATAACCTCCTTGCAGTGGCAAGATCTTGCATCGATGCCTACCTACGAATGACTGGCTTATTGACCACTCACGCTTGGAACAACAAGGCCGTGCGCTTTCTTGGTGTTCCCGCTGTCTGTCAGGCTTCCCGGCCAAAAAGAGGGCAGAGACAATTGAACAGATTTTTCTACAATGCCCATCAGCAATATTGACCTGGAGGTGGTGGGACAGGGTGTGGCGGCAAATGGTTCCGGGATATCCGTGGCCGTGGGATTGGCGTGCCATCTTAATGGGACACCACCCGCCCTTCCAAGACAGCATCTTCGTGTCAAACATGTTTCACCTGTCCCGAAAAATGATCTTGTGGGTGTTGTGGTGGCAACGCTGTGTTCTGATCTGGAGCAGGTACGGGTAGAGGGGGAGGAGAGGGTCGAACAATTCAAAACACACTTCCAACTGGAACTCTCACATCGGTGGAAAGCAACCATGCAATCGCTTGACAATTTCCATCGCTCCAAAGACATTACGGAACGGTTATTGCAGTTCTCTAGGGAATGGCTGGGAGGAGACCGGGAGGGATGGGTTGCGGAAGCATGTTGGTCAGGGGATTGGGAAGATAGGGAAGGTGGGGAGGACAGCCAAAGAGAGGAAGGCCCAAGGGATTACCGTCTGAGATTCAAGGACTGGCTGCTGATAGATCCGAGTATCCCCATGAGACCCGCAGAAGAGTTTCCGGACCCTTTCCCCCCCCATCCATGGTCCCTGGAAATACATCTATGATATAATCTTTCAGAACCCAACCTGCTGTGTTTCTGTTCCTTTTGACATTTTTTTGAGACTAACATCTGATATAGCAGGGACGGATGCCAACTGGTCACACCCGACAGATGACTGCAGGGTCGCATGATTGCATGGAGATTGTTCGTGGCAGGACAGGGTGACGGGAGGAGGCCCCACTTGTGCCCCCCAGTGGCTCCTCCTGGTACCCTGACCAGATGAAAGGGTGAGAAGGACTCCTGCTACTTGCCTATGCATCACAAGACATCCACTCGCACATGGGCTGCGGTTTCCAGGCACAACAGACAATTCTGGCAGGTTTTTTCCAGTTACGGTTCTAGGTCCAGAGCAGTCAATCCTGGCAGGTTTTCTCCAGTTATCAGTCTAAGTCCCTTCTTCCCGGTCCTTCTCTCAAGTTTTTTTCCAAAAGACCTGCTCAATCAATCCCCTGTAATCCAGGGTAATCAATGCTGGCAGGTCATTTTCTCCGATTTTTTCTGATCATATCCTGTATATGGGATGCTGGACCCGTTTTCCAGCAGGTGATGCTCCCCACCAATAGATGGAGCCTCTCCCCGGGTGGTTAAAAAAAAAAAAAAAAGTCGGAGCACCACGGGGTGTCGAAACACGCAACCTTGATGTCCATCTGGCCAAATTCCCAGAGGTCGACAATTAGTCGTTTTTTGTAACGGGTTTTGGTCGAGGGCGCAAGGTCAAACCTCACATCCCTCAGGGCCGGGGTGAGGGGATACGTATATGGAGGATGATCCTTAATTGTGGAGCCAAAGGCATCCTCGACAACACTCTTCAAAGGACCCATAGCCGACACCGGGACGTCTAAACAATGAATCCAGAAGAGCTTTTGCTTCATGGCTTCTCTCAATTCAAGGAGCTGTTGTTCAAACATCCAGGGGAGGAAACAGATCGTATGTAGGGTGTTATCAAGTTCCACTTTGTCTTCCTTTTTCATCAACATCCACGAGGCGATTTGTTTGGCCGAAGCTACATATGTGAGTAGGTTACGCCTTCGTTTCTTATCACCCCGCGTTTTGGCGGAGCACCAGTGGCCGAAGAGGCAGCCCATCCATTCTCATGCATACGAATCAGTCTGCTTTTGACATCAAAGGATAGAGAAGTGGAATCTTGGTAAAAAAACACAGACACAACGTTCTCTGAAAGCCAATCAGCCTGAATTCTAGCGAGGTCACGGCCAACCACAACCTTAACGAAGTCATCCCCTACCGTGACTGTGTTGGGGACCAGTTTTTCAGGAAGGATTCCATCGTTGAAACAGACAGCAAGTCACGGATCCATGTCCTATCAATGTCGGACAGGGGGGCAGAACTCTCGAGTAGCGGGGATAGTGACATCATTGTAAAAAGTAGGTAAATAACAAACCTGGAAATTTTCAGAAGATTAAAAACAACAAAACTGACTGTCATTACTACGTGGAGGACACACCCGACCTAAAGTTAAGAGTCTCCAGGCATCAATCAGAACTGGGTGTCGTACACCTTCGATCCACTGTCGAACGCATGAACGCAAGAGTAGGAAGAAGCCACAGCCGCACGATGATATCCTCGTCGACGAAGCGCCCGCGATCGCTCCCTCTTTGTTGACCTTCTCTACTAATAGGCAGATGGGAAGAAGCAACGGGAGACAAACCCAGGGTAGTGCCACTTGTGGCCTGCCTTCCCTTACACACTTCGGCTGAGACTCTGAGATACATGGATTCCCTCGGAATCACCGAGGTAATTCGAAGGAGAACCCTATCATCCAGTCATACCAGCTTCCCGCCGTACTCACGCGAATGCACCCGCGCTGAGCTGGCACGGGCCGTACTCACGCGAATGCACCCGCGCTGAGCTGGCATGGGCCGTACTCACGCGAATGCACCCGCGCTGAGCTGGCACGGGCCCCACCGCTAGCGTCCGCAGACTTCACGTTGCTGCTAACGCCTCCGTCCCTTGTTTTCTCAACGAGCCCACTTCTGTAGTACGAGAGAAGAAGCATCTTGGCACAAACAAATAATAATCATAAAAAAACGACGTAGGAACCAAGGCGAAAATTATTTCCGAAATTCTAAGCAATAGGAGGGAATAGTTTGGACGAGACGCAGCGGTAGATTCATGTCCCTCTGTCCTTGTCCAACATTTTGTCCTATTTGTCATTAACTTATTATTGTTATTGTATTCTAGATTTCCACTGTTTTTTCTAGGAATCCTACCACTCCATTAATTTTGAAAAGAAAAACAATTGTCCTTTTCTCATTGAGGATTATTACCTGATCGCTAGTATCATTACTACGAATATTCTTACTGTTTTTACATTTTAAACGACGAAGGAACTGAGGCAAAAATTATTTCCGAAATTCTAAGCGATAGGAGGGAATAGTTTGGGTGAGACGTAGTGGTAGGCTCACGTCCCTCTGTCCTTGTCCAGCATTTGTCCTATTTGTTATTATTGTTATTGTATTCTAGATTTCCACTGTTTTTTCTAGGAATCCTACCACTTTATTATTTTTGAAAAGAAAAACAATTGTCCTTTTTTCTGTGTTAAATTCCGGGCCGCCCGGCGGCCCAGCATCCGTCCGGCAGGGGTCCCGGGTGGCCCGGCCGGTTGGGTCCCCCGGTTCGATGCCAGGCGGGCCCAGCGCATTTTTGCGCGGGGGGGGGGGGGGAAGGCCTGTTT